TGATATGTGTTCTGGTAGGTTTATTCTTGGTCCCCCTTTGTGCCACTGTTCAACATAAGCAGGAGCTTTTAACATTTTACAAATAAATAAATAAAATTCCCCCCCCCCCATGGTTTGTAGACCAGGTCATTATGTAAAGAAACCACAGTTCACCTTAGAGCTGCTTTCATGTGATCTTAACAAAAGAATTGATATTGAGAAATCATATGCACAAAAAGCAAATAAACTCAGATACATTCTAGTATTTATAGGCAGGCCTTTACTGAACTTAACAATCAGCTTTTATAGTCATACTTTTAGATAAGCAAATAAGGATTGTAATGCCTTACAGATTACAGAGCAATCACAGATATTAAGCAGCAATTTAATGTCTCTGAAAACTGGAAAATGAAGAACAAAATGAAACTGTTATTTCTGATAGTATTATACACAGTAAGTGACTTTTGTCACTTACTGCCAAGCACCGAGAGACTGACAGAGAGAGAGAGAGAGAGAGAGAGAGAGAGAGAGAGAGAGAGCCATTATGAAAAGCAATTTGAAACTGAACTTGCCTGGAGATAATGCAGCAACATAAGAAAGCCATCCTATTTATAGGACGCTCCCATCTTGTTTCTTGCACAATGAACAAGCATTAAGTGGCAATAATTAGAAAGAAGCAACATGTGCAGCCTTTATCTCACACATTAAAAGAGATATAATGGAGGAGAAAATACAACACTGTCAGTCAAAGGGAATTTCTGCCCTTAGTCTATCATCTGCCATCTCATGTGGTCATTTGTGTCTGTTCTTATCAGAGAATAGTTTTCAGAACTTAGTTTGTAAAAACAGTGTCCGGACAGTTTCACTGACAGATCCTCTTTTCTTGACTCCTAATATTCTGCTAAACTAGTCCCCTAGGAAACAGTTTGGCGAGTGTTACCAAAGGTGATCTTGTAAAGGTAGCCATGGCTTATACCTTGAACAGTAGGCACTAAGGGAATATTTTAGTCAGAAAATTAGAACACTTTTTGGACAAAGATTCCAAATGATTTGTGCATTTACCCTGTCCTGCTTAGTTCCATGAAGAAATTTGATTAGTATTGACAATGAAATCATTTTCTTAATTAGAAAGCAGATAAAGAGTTGTACACAAGTGATTCTTGAAAATGCTGAACATACTTGAAAATTCTACACTACTAGATAGAATTATATTTAGTGGATACCAAGAGATAGGAGTTCCTAAACTAGATCCTCAAATAAATTTTGTTTAATTTTTAACAAAAAAGAAAATCACTATGAAATGTAATTGTACTTGATTAAATTTATAATGAAAATACAAACTTTAAAGCCACTAATCTTAAAATAATTTCATTTAGAGTTGCAGACTCCTCTCCACTCCAAACCCTGAACAGATATTTCTCTACCTCCATATATTCTGTCCACACTTAAATTTCAAATAGTGTTTAAAATTCTTTAAAATAATGCTTTATTGATTTAGAAAGCAATGATTCCCCATCCCGATCAACAGAACCATTAGACATTTTGAAATTTTCATCTTCATAAATATATCATAATATGAATGACAAAATATATCTAATCTGTTCATTGCTGTCCATTTTTCAGATTCAAGAATGGCTTTGTTTAAATTGCCAAACACAGAGAGCAATCTCGGGACAAGTTGGAGATGTGGGCAAAATGCCGTCTGTACCGCTGGGATCCAAAGCTTCCCTAGTGCCGGCAACTGCAGAAACACTATCTCAGAAAACAGTGATGACTGCCCAGGTAAAGGTTAAAAAGAAAGAATCAGAAGCAAAACCAGAAGCTGAAAAACTCATTCCAGAAAAAGGGAAAGAAACACCTTCAACTGAGAAAACTCCTCCCAGGGTCACCACAGAGCAAAAACAAGAAGAGAGTAAACTAGAGAAAATAAAAGTTTCAGCCCTTCAAGAAAAGAAACCACCCCCCGAAGAAGAAAAACCACTCTCTGAAGACAAAAAGTTAATGGCAGAAGGAAAGCAGCCATATGCTGAAGAAAAGCCACCCCTTGAAGAGAAGCCAACCACTGAAGATGAGAAATTACCCCGGGAAGCCAAGCCACTGGACTTAGAAGAGGAAGAGAAACGCCAGATGCTTAAAGCTCAAGTGCAAATTGCTGTAGAAAAGCCCAAAGGCAGTCTGGTTCCAAAGGCCATTGAAGAAGAGAAGCAACCACCGACCAAGATCGAAGGTTTGCCACCTGCTGCACCTCAGACCTTGCCCAAGGAAGACGATAAGAAAAGTAAAAGGATGAAAGAGCAGCCACAGGCAGAAGGTGGTGCAAAACCCGAACAAGTGGAACCTGGGGCAGAAAAGACAGTAAGATTTTTAAATAGTATTTTCCTACTGTTGCAGTCTTGCCTGTGTGATATGCTGCTATTTCCTTAGTGCCCGAGTTGTTCAAGGGTAGAATAGATGTGAAAGCCTTTAAATCATAAGTGACATTTTCAGAAAAGTCTAGCAAATTTTACTGAAATGAAACTCATTGGCGTTTTGATACCTTAGTCAAAATTATAGAAAACAGAAAGATAAAATTAATTTCTTTAAATCATATTGAGAAATCAAAAAGTTTCCTACAGTTCCATGTTATTCTGTCTTTTAATCCACAATGAGTATGGAGCTTAGTATTTCTTTTTGTTATGAACTAATGCATCATTAAGCTATTGGTTTGCAAGAGGCAATAAAATTTCTTTCCCTTTTGAAAGCCTTCTAAGCTGTGGTCAGCCACAAAATTATTGGAGAAAAATGGGTATTGCTAAAACCCAGAATGAATACATTTTATATATTCATAGTTAACTTTAGTATTAAGAATGATTAGTGCCATGCTTCAGAAGTTTAATTTGATATCAATAGATCATTTTTAATCTGTGTATAATCTAGAATAATACATATTCCTTTTCATAATTGAGAAATTTTGAGAATACTTTTTAAGTAATATTAATGAGAAGTTTCAAGAACACTCCATTTTAAGTAATATTTGCATAAGCAATTATGTCATTTAGAGGAACTCTAAATATTAAACCTACTATAGGTCTTATATTTCATTTTATTAGATAATTTTAATTCACAGATGATTTCAATGAAATTAACTGTTGTTTTACTGTTAAAAGTCCAAGTAGAAAATACAATTACAGCTTTGATTCAGTTTGGAGGAGTTTATTACCTTTTTTTTATAGTTTTTATTATTTTGTCATGAAAACTAAATATGTATATACAGATTAACACCTCTAATACAAAGATTTAATACCTAAAACATACCAAAATCTGAAGAGGTTTTAGTGACAAGTCATAGCAACAAGTGAAAACTTCCATAGTTGACCTAATATGAGGGTCTCTGTGAAAACACGAGTGAACTAAAGATATTGTATAAAGTTATCTCTAGGCTCTGCATACAGGATATAGATAAGGCATAAACGAAGTTCATGTTTAGACTGGGGTCATGTCCTCAGAATGTATCATATATGTGTGTTGGTATATTCCAAAATCAAAGTCTGAAATATTAAATGTTTCTGGTCCCCAGCATTTTGGATAAGGGATCTTTAACTTATATTGACTGCTTTCATTGTTTTACTGATCTATTATTGCATTAGGCAACATTAACAGATGATGTGAAATACATGTTATCAAGTAAAATCATTTTTACTATATTTATTTGTTTATTTTTCACATTAAAATAATATTTTAGAGAGACAAGACAAGTATGTTACTATTTTTAATATATGAAATACATTTTAGTTGTAGTTATTTGAAATTAAAACTCAGTGTCAAGCTGCATATAAGTGAAATTATTTTGATGTTTTGATGCTTATTTTAATGAAATTCATAGCAAAAAACTGATATGCTCCCCCCGAAAACTGTACCATAAATAGAACCAGTGGCTCAAATGTTATTAACCAGCAGATTTCACTATCTGACTTCTAAGAACAGAGTTGAATAGTAATCATGAAAATACTGGTATCTATCATTTGTTCTTGCTAGCTGTCTGGCGACAGGGTACTTCAAGCAAACATAGCTAAGAAAAAGGTCAGTGTAGCTGTTCTAATATCAAAAAAACAAAAACAAACCAAGAAAACACATAGATTTTTAGTTTTTATGGTCATGGTTGAAGGGAGAGTGTCAGAAAATGTGTTGTTCATAAGTGACCTTAAAAATTATTCTGGAGTTTTTTGGGAGATATTTAAATTAATTAAAACTTTCTGCTTCAAAATTTGCTAAATGAGTGGAAGTGACAGTTTTTCAAAATGGCATATGTCATTTCATTTTTCATAATCATGCGAGGATCTTAAAATATCTGCCTTCAAAGGGCTATTTGCACATCATAATATTTCAGACATTTTTTGTCTATTTTTTCCTCAATATCTAACAGGTAGCATCTTGCCAATAATCAGTGTGCACTTTTTTCTGAACATCTAATTAGTACATTACTGATAACTACTTGTTATCACCAAGCAGCTAGACACTTTTGAGATTTCTCTATTTTTGCTTACAAAGGATTAAGACTTCGTATTCTTCAGATTTTAAATGAATTTCTCATGAAATGATCAGTAAATTTCTATGTGTAAAATAATTTCAGCAATTTACCGTCACAGTACAAAATATTAATATATTCTTTAAGATATAATGATCTCACTTGGATGAAATATACCACTAATTTCCATCGTGAGGCACTCCCCCTGACCCAATTCAGTGACAGCAGATGAAGTAATGAACTGCATATATAGCGTTGTTCATATAGTCTTTGTAACTTTGTCCTTTATCTAAACAGTTCCAATCTGAGAAAGTACTCCTTAACATCTATTATGTGGGGATTTTTTCATTAAAATATGTATACCTTTATAAAATCACTTAATATTGAGGTTAAGTTTTTATTGATTAGTTTTCAGGAGGTGCTTACAATAATATTCCCTTAAGTACTTTATTACTTTGGAAGAAATGAGGAATATTCTGAGATGGACACAAGAGATATATGCATAATTTGATCCTCTCACCACCAAACCTTCTACTGCTTGATTTATCTAACTTTTCCACAATTTCTTTTTGTTCCAACAATATTTGCTGAGAACAGGACACAATTTAATACATCATCCTCTAATTTCCATGTCATTGTACCCATTTTCTCAAGGTAATAAACAATTGCCCTAACTACTATGACTTTTCCTCTTACTATTAAATAGAAAAATTCAAAAGAAAATTTCAAATGTTTTAAATCCAATTTAGTCAAAAATTTAGTGATGAAAATGTGTTTTCTTTAAAAATTTGAGATGTAGGCTGTGGTTGTAAGATATTACCTGTACCTTCAAACCACCTAGTATGCTTAAGGTAAAGTTTACTATTTGCAATATTGGCTATAGTTACAAATTTCAAGAAGTTTACCAAGCATCATCAAACCTTTTTAGTTAACTTCATGGCCAATCACTAATTCATCATTGTTTTACCTTGCTTTGTCGCTGTACTCGTTCTTTTCTGTTGCTGTGATAAAGCACTCTGACCATTTATAGAAGGAAGAATTTATTGGGCTTATGGTTCCAGATGAATGAGGGTCTATTATGGTGTGGAGCCATGGCAGCAGAAGCTGCTGGGAGCAGAAATCTGAGAGCTCACATCTTCAAGCAAGCACAGGAAGCAGTGAGAGCCTAATTGGAAGTGGGCAAGGCTATACACTCTCAAAGACTGCCCCAAATGATATGCTTCCTTCAGCATAGCCACACCTCCTAAAGGTTCCATGATCCTCTCCAAGCAGAGCCTCAAACTGGGGACCAGACTTCAAAATACTTGGAGCCTTTGGGGGCAATTCTCATTCAAACAATCACAGTTACTGGAAAATGCTTGTAGCAATATAGAAAGTGTCCATTCCCTTGTAATATATTTGTTTGTTTCTTGCATTATAAGGTTTTTCAACACATGAGCTTTTTTGTGTATATGTGAATGTGAATATTTGTCCACTACCTATCCATTGGTTTAAGTGGAACTATGTGTAATAAGCATTATTTCTTCTTTACCAAACAATAAGGTTTAAATTAACAGTGAAAAAATGAAGCGACTGCCTTGCTATAATTTTTTCCTACAGTAGAACTTCCAATTTTCTTTTAAAATTTTTTAAAAATATTTTACTTATTATTTTTTATGTGTATGTGTGTATTGTTTGCATGTATGTGAGTGCACTCATATCGTGCAGTGCCGCGGATGTCAGAGAGGGCTTCGGATTTCCCTGGAACTGGAGTTAAGGATGGTTTTAGCTGCCATGTGGGTGCTGGGAATCGAACCCAGGTCCTCTGTAAGAGCAGCCAGTGCTCTTAACCACTGAGCCATCTCTCCAGCCCCTCTTTTAAAATTTTGTATACCTTGTGACCAACTAACAAGAACTGGTAGAATACTAATAATGTCAATCTATTTCCAATATCAGGAAAAATATTTTCTGTATATATTTTAAATATTCCATATGAATCTTAAAGCTTTTTTGTTCTACCTTTGTGGAGCTGATAGGATTTTTATACTCATCAGTGGAAATTCCTGCCTAAATAAAAGTTTAGCTTTGCTTTCCAGCCATCTAGAATCTGGCTCTAAAATAACTTCTCTGCAAGTGAGAATTGAGAAAACAAATGAATGTACTCCTGTGATTCTTCTGCACAGAATGTGTAGTCTCCTTTCTGAACCTGTGCGCTCAGTCTCTCAATGAGTGCCTAAGCAGCCCCTCCAGTACAGCCCTATCAGAGAAGCCCTTGCTGGTCTTCCTGTCACCCTGGTGGCCCCTCCTCATGAATGGAAGTCACCTCTTCTGTTGCTGAACTCCCTGTATTGATTCCTTTATAAATTATAATTTTTAAATTAAAAATAATGCTCTTAATTTACTACTTGCCATAATCTGGGCACTTTGTTAAGTCCTTTTCCTCCTTTTTAATCTACACAAATATTGATAATATAAATATTATGAATGCTGTTAATAACTGTTTTAAAGATAAGGAAACCAGATTTTATGTTCTAAATACAAGTAGCTGGAAAAATACCAGAATGATGATTTCAGTATCATTCTTTCCATGAAGTCGCTACTAACATCCACCACAACAGTTGTTTTTCTGCTAGGACACTTTGAGCATACAGACTTCTACTCTTACTCATCTATATGTGAAAATTCTCCCTTCATCCTTTGGGTAACTTATTTCTTATATATTTATATTATTGTTCGTTGTTTGTATTTCTTTGTTGCTATATCATTTTATTTATTCAAATTTTCAAAATGTTTATTGAAATTAAAATTAAGTCTGAAATATAATATTTTAAAAGGTATGCCTCTTTAGCTTTTGTAGTTTATTATTTTTAAG